TTATACTTCCAACTACTCAGGAGGTTTTGTCAGGAGAATCACTTGACCCCAGGAGCTCAAGGTTGTGATTTTGTCACTGCACTCCAGCCTGGGCAACAGAGCAAAACATTGTCTCTAAAAAATAAAAATATATATTGGAGGTTGAAAAGAAGGGTACTGGTATAATTTCCTTTTTTAATGTCACTAAAATTTTGACTTGGCTTAAATGATTGTGGGGATTTATGATTTTTTTGAGATGGAGTCTCGCTCTGTCGCCCAGGCTGGAGTGCAATGTTGAGGTCTCAGCTCGCTGCAACCTCCACCTCCCAGGTTCCAACGATTCTGGGATTACAGGCACCCGCCACCATGCCCAGCTAATTTTTGTATATTTAGTAGAGACGGGGTTTCACCATGTTGGCCAGGCTGGTCTCAGCTGACCTCGTGATCCACCTGCCTTGGCCTCCCAAAGTGCTGGGATTACAGGCGTGAGCCACTGTGCCTGGCCTTTTTAAACTTTTTTGTACAGACTGGGTCTCACTATGTTGCCCATGCTAGGATTTATAATTTTTAAATTATTTGAACTAATGAATCAGGACGTATGGGAAGATAAGAATTAAATTTACAATCCAAACTTTGGTATTATAAATTCTAATTTATGTATTGCTAATATTTTTGTGAACATAGTTGTCAAAAATTTTAAGTTTTTAGGGCTCACCGTGTTAGCCAGGATGGTTTTGATCTCCTGACCTCATGATCCACCCACCTCAGCCTCCCAAAGTGCTGGGATTACAGGCATGAGCCATTGCGCCTGGTTGGTATTATTACCTTTATTTTTTGAGATGGAGTCTAACTCTGTTGCCCAGGCTGGAGTGCAGTGGCATGATCTTTGCTCACCACAACCTCCACCTCCTGGGTTCAAGCGATTCTTCTGCCTCAGCCTCCCGAGTAGCTGGGACTACAGGCGTGCGCCACCACACCTGGCTAATTTTTGTATTTTTAGTAGAGACTGGGTTTCAACATGTTGGCCAGGCTGGTCTCGAACTCCTGACCTTGGGATCCACCCACCTCAGCCTCCCAAAGTGCTGGGATTACAGACGTGAGCCACCGTGCCCGGCTGGTATTACCACTTTTTAAAAAACTTTTAGGCCGGGCACGGTGGCTCACGCCTGTAATCCCAGCACTTTGGGAGGCTGAGGCAGGCAGATCACTTGAGGTCAGGAGTTTGAGACCAGCCTGACAAATATGGAGAAACCCTGTCTTTAAAAAAAAAAAACTTTTGCTGCGCACGAACGTGCCTATAATTCCAGCTGCTTGGGAGGCTGAGGCAGGAGAGTCACTTGAACCTGAGAGGCAGAAGTTGGTAAGCCAAGATCGCACCATTGTACTTCAGCCTGGGCAATAAGAGCAAAATTCTGACTCAAAAAAAAATCCTTTAGCCATTCAAACAGATGTGTAGTATGTCGTGTGTTGTGTGTGTGTTGATCCTTCTCTCACTTATCTATGAGAAGAGAATTTTAATTTAAGTACAGATAATGGCTAATGGCTTTTATTAGAGGTCTCAAAATATATAAGGACTTCAGGCCTTCTTTTGACAGATGATTTCTGCAGGGTTTTTTGGTTTTTTTTTTTTTTTTTTTTTTT